AAGGGAGTATAGAGAGTGACTGTTTACATGTATAAGGGAGTATGGAGTGTGACTGTTTACATGTATAAAGGAGTATGGAGAGTGACCGTGTTTGTATAAGTGTAGGGGAGTATGGAGAGTGACTGTGTGTGTACAGGGGTAAGGGAGTATGGAGAGTGAATGTGTGTGTACATGTGTATAAGGGAATATGGAGAGTGACAGTGTGTGTACATGTGTCAGGGGGTATGGAGAGTCACTGTTTGTGTACATGTGTAAGAGAGTATGGATAGTCACTGTGTGTGTACATGTGTGTGAGAGTATGGAGAGTGACTGCGTGTGTACATTTGTCAGGGGGTATGGGGAGTGACTGTGTGTGTACATATGTAAGGGGGTATGGAGAGTGACTGTTTGTGTACAGGTGTAAGGGAGTAAGGAGAGTGACTGTGTGTGTACATGTGTAGGGGCGTATGAAAAGTCAATGTATGTGTGCATGTGTAAGGGAGTATGGAGAGTGACCGTGTTTGTATAAGTGTAGGGGAGTATGGAGAGTGACTGTGTGTGGGGAGTATGGAGAGTGAATGTGTGTGTACATGTGTATAAGGGAATATGGAGAGTGACAGTGTGTGTACATGTGTCAGGGGGTATGGAGAGTCACTGTCTGTGTACATGTGTAAGAGAGTATGTGACTGTGTGTGTACATGTGTAGGGGCGTATGAAAAGTCAATGTATGTGTCCATGTGTAAGGGAGTATGGAGAGAGACTGTGTGTGTACATGTGTAGGGGCGTATGAAAAGTCAATGTATGTGTCCATGTGTAAGGGAGTATGGAGAGTCACTGTGTGTATATATTTGTAAGGGAGTATGGAGAGTGACCGTGCTTGTATAAGTGTAGGGGAGTATGGAGAGTGACTGTGTTTGTATAAGCGAGGGGAGTATGGAGAGTGACTATGTGTGTACAGGTGTGTACATGTGTAAGAGAGAAGGGAGAGTGACTGCGTGTGTACATGTGTAAGGGAGTATGGATATTGACCGTGCTTGTATAAGTGTAGGGGAGGATGGATAGTGACTGTGTGTGTACAGGGGTAAGGGAGTATGGAGAGTGAATGCGTGTGTACATGTGTCAGAGGGTATGGGGATTGACTGTGTGTGTACATGTGTAAGTGACTGTGTGTGTACATGTGTCAGAGGGTATGGGGAGTGACTGTGTGTGTATATATGTAAGGGGGTATGGAGAGTGGCTGTTTGTGTACAGGTGTAAGGGAGCAAGGAGAGTGACTGTGTGTGTACATATCTAAGGGAGTATGAGGAGTGACTGTGTGTGTGCAGGTGTAAGGGAGTATAGAGAGTGACTGCGTGTGTACATGTGTAAGGGAGTATGGATAGTCACTGTGTGTGTACATGTGTAAGAGAGAATGGAGAGTGACTGCGTGTGTACATGTGTCAGGGGGTATGGGGAGTGACTGTGTGTGTACATATGTAAGGGGGTATGGAGAGTGACTGTTTGTGTACAGGTGTAAGGGAGTAAGGAGAGTGACTGTGTGTGTACATGTGTAGGGGAGTATGGAGAGTCAATGTATGTGTGCATGTGTAAGGGAGTATGGAGAGTGACTGCGTGTGTACATGTGTCAGAGGGTATGGGGAGTGACTGTGTGTGTACATGTGTAAGGGGGTGTGGAGAGTGACTGTTTTTGTACAGGTGTAAGGGAGTAAGGAGAGCGACTGTGTGTGTTCATGTGTAGGGGAGTATGTAGAGTCAATGTGTGTTTGCATGTGTAAGAGAGTATGAGGAGTGACTGTGTACTGGTGTAAGGGAGTATCGAGTATGGAGAGTGATTGTGTTTGCATAAGCGAGGGGAGTATGGAGAGTGACTATGTGTGTACAGGTGTAAGGTGAATGTGTGTGTACATGTGTAAGGGAGTATGCACAGGTGTAAGGGGGTATGAGGAGTGACTGTGTGTGTATGTGTAAGGGAGTATAGGGAGTGATTACATGTGTAAGGAAGTATGGAGAGTGACTGTGTGTGTACAGGGGTAAGGGAGTATGGAGAGTCACTGCGTGTGAACAGGTGTAAGGGAGTATAGAGAGTCACTGCGTGTGAACAGGTGTAAGGGAGTATAGAGAGTCACTGCGTGTGAACAGGTGTAAGGGAGTATGGAGAGTGACTGTTTACATGTATAAGGGAGTATAAGGAGTGACTGTGTGTGTATGTGTGTGTGTACATGTGTCAGAGGGTATGGGGAGTGACTGTGTGTGTTCATATGTAAGGGGGTATGGAGAGTGACTGCGTGTGTACATGTGTAAGGGGGTATGGAGAGTCACTGTTTGTGTACATGTGTAAGAAAGTATTGAGAGTCACTGTGTGTGTACATGTGTAAGAGAGTATGGAGAGTGACTGCGTGTGTACATGTGTCAGGGGGTATGGGGAGTGACTGTGTGTTTACATATGTAAAGGGGTATGGAGAGTGACTGTTTGTGTACAGGTGTAAGGGAGTAAGCAATGTATGTGTGCATGTGTAAGGGAGTATGGAGAGTGACTGCGTGTGTACATGGGTCAGGGGGTATGGGGAGTGACTGTGTGTTTACATATGTAAAGGGGTATGGAGAGTGACCGTTTGTGTACAGGTGTAAGGGAGGAAGGAGAGTGACTGTGTGTGTACATGTGTAGGGGAGTGTGTAGAGTCAATGTGTGTTTGCATGTGTAAGACAGTATGAGGAGTGACTGTGTACAGGGGTAAGGGAGTATCGAGTATGGAGAGTGACTGTGTTTGTATAAGCGTTGGGAGTATGGAGAGTGACTATGTGTGTACAGGTGTAAGGGAATATGAGGAGTGACTGTGTGTGTACAGGTGTAAGGGAGTATGAGGAGTGACTGTTTACATGTATAAGGGAGTATAAGGAGTGACTGTGTGTGTATGTTTGTAAGGGAGTATGGAGAGTCACTGTGTGTGTGCATGTGTAAGGAAGTATGGAGAGTGACTGTGTGTGCACATGTGTAAGGGAGTATGGAGAGTGACTGTGTGTGTATAAGTGTAGGGGAGTATGTAGAGTGACTGTGTGTGTACATGTGTAAGGGGTTATGGAGAGTGACTGTTTGTGTACATGTGTAAGGGAGTAAGGAGAGCGACTGTGTGTATACATTTGTAGGGGATTATGGAGACTTAATGTGTGTGTACATGTCTAAGGGAGTATATAGAGTGACTGTGTGTGTACATGTGTAAGAGAGTACGGAGAGTGTTTGTGTGTGTACATGTGTAAGGGAGTATGGAGAGTGTTTGTGTTTGTACATGTGTAAGGGAGTATGGAGAGTGACTGTTTGTGTACATGTGTAAGGGAGTAAGGAGAGTGACAGTGTGTATACATTTGTAGGGGATTATGGAGACTTAATGTGTGTGTACATGTGTAAGGGAGTATGGAAATTCATTGTGTGTGTTCATGTGTAAGGGGGTATGGAGAGTGACTGTGTGTGTACATATGTAAGGGAGTATGAGGAGTGACTGTGTGTGTACATGTGTAAGGGAGTATGGGTGTGACTGTGTGTATACAAGTGTAAGGAAGTATGGAGAATGAATGTGTGTGTACAGGTGTTAAAGAGTATGTAGAGTGACTATGTGTGTACATGTGTAAAGGAGTATGAGGAGTGACTGTGTGTGTATGTGTAAGGGAGTATAGGGAGTGATTGTGTACAGGTGTAAGGGAGTATAGGGAGTGATTGTGTACAGGTGTAAGGGAGTATGGAGAGTGACTGTGTACATGTATAAGGGAGTATGGAGGGTCACTGTGTACATGTATAAGGGAGTATGGAGAGTCACTGTGTGTGTACAGGTGTAAAGGAGTATGGTGAGTCACTGCTTGTGTACATGTGTAATGGAGTATGGAGAGTGACTGTCTGTGTATGTGTGTAAGGGAATATGGCGAGTGAATGTATACAGGTGTAAGGGAATATAGGGAATGACTGTGTAGAGGTGTAAGGGAGTACGGAGAGTGGATGTGTGTGTAAGGTGTGAGGAAGTATGGAGAGTCGGTGCGTGTGTACATGTTTAAGGGAGTATGGAGAGTGACCTTTTGTACAGGTGTAAGGGAGTATGGAGAGTGACTGTGTGTGTACAGGTGTTAGGGAGTATGGAGAATATATGTGTGGGTACAGGTGTATGGGAGTATGGATAAAATATGTGTGTGTACAGGTGTAAGGGAGTATGGAGATTGTATGTCTGTGTACCGTAGTAAGAATACATTGAATGAATCTCTTTGTCTGAGATTAAATAAATGTTTTGTTACTCACTTCCCCTTCTGTTTCAACAGTAGTGTAAACGAATATGGATTTCCAAATTATCGGCCCCTTGCATCACCGATGAATCCTTGAAGGACGAAATAGACTAATGTCTAACACGTCTTTATATCTTATTGTTGTGTGGATTATTGCGGAGTTGTGGACACCAATGAGTATGTGCTTTCATCTCAATAGAGAGATGTATGTACTCGGTTTTATGTCTCTGACCAGGCAACCAACAAGGCAACCATACCAAGATATTGTCAACCGGGGATACAGTTTTAAAGAAAATAATGACTGTCAAAGGATTGTAAAATCCTAACTATGTCAGAATAAATCTATGAATATATGTTAATATAAAAAGATAATTTCAAGAGATATGTTACTGTCTCCATGTAATATAGACAAAACGACAATCATACCAGATACATGTTATTGTCTCCTAGTTTTCAGATAGAAAACAATTATACCAGAGATGTGTTATTGTCTTACAATAATACAGACAAAAATGTAATTGTTATAAAGATATGTTATTTTCTGTAATACAGACAAAACGACAAGTATACCAGTGTGACAGACAAAGAGACATTTGTACCAGAGATATGGTATGCTACTACCTGCATTTCTTTTTTCTATAGTACAAAGTCATCTGTATAAAATAAATATTAATGTCCGTACTGTCACGTAGAGAAAAAGGCAAATGTCTCATATTTATATTAGCACACAACAGAAGACAATAACGATATATTTATGCTTATATTTGTGTTTATTCAGGCATACATGTACACAATATAATACCAACAACACACTGAACACGAACAAACACCGTTCTACGATACAATTACCCCGAGGGTCATTTGTCCCAGAAGAAACGGGGGACAGATTTCTGTTTTACCTATCCTCTAACAAAATATCATGGAAAAAGTGTATTCACATTGTGTTCAGTTTTTCACATTATTGGCTAAAAACTAATAATGTGAAAGCTGAACACAAAAGTCTTTAGTCCAGTCATCTTACTCAAAGATTTGCCCAAACATCACATATCTTTATTTTCTTTTATAACTTTTATAGATATCTTGATTATGTACGGAAGAAAAGTCAACCAAAATCAGCCTTGGGAAAAATGTGTTTTTTTATCTTTTTTTCTTTCTTTTTTTCCATAATGACTAACCATCATTGAATTGTGATTTCTAAATGAATCTCTATGGAAAATTTTGTATTTGAAGTTAAGAAGATAGCAATACAAACTTAGGTATTATTTACGTTATGTGAAGCATTTAGTATTATACGCTGTAGGGTGGAACTAAAACAATACTAACTAAACTATAATGTATCTATGTGTGATGAAGAGTATGGCGAGTGGAAACTGTAGCGATACAAACTAAAGTATAATGTATGTATATCTCATGTGTAACATATATTATGGTATGTTAAAACTATATAAAATGCAAACTAAAGTATATTATTCCTCTCGTGTAACACTGATTATATTAGGTATAAGTTAACACTAAATCAATACAATGTTCAAATTGTCCAGCAGGCGCTAAATTGGAGATATGTAAAAGTACAAATTGAAGGATTTGCCCATTTCTGCAGTTTGCATTCTTAAAATGAATAAGTCTAAAACCATTTCATTTTCTTTTCTATGCATTCACAACTTCCTGGAAAATTCATTTGTTGGATACCTTGGCAATTTATATGTCTAACTCAATGCTAAAAAACCCATCTCATGCCATTTTGGAGTGATTCCAAGATTTGAACAACGAACTATTTTTTGTTCATAGGTTTTATCCAATTTCTAAATGAAATAGAAAAAACACGCTGTCGTAAAGTAACCGTTTTTGCACAACGAAATAGAAATTAGACAGTCGTATTTTTTTTCTTTTTCATTATACTGAAAATTCCATATCACACCATTCTTCCTTTGGAGGGAAGAAAAATTACGTTTGTGTTAATAAATATTAATGGGAATTGTTTGACCTTAATTCCCCTATTGTGATTTGTCATGCAATGGAAGTTATTTGTACCAAAATATTATAAATACAAATATTGTCGTTGAAAATCATGGGCTTGCATATATTCATATTTAAATGTTCGGTTTAAATTGCACGATACAAGACCTTGGCAATCTTGATTTTGTCTCTGAACAAAATGAGAATTTCTACTATACATTGCACACTTGGAAGGTCACTCAACGCGATTTTAACCAAACCGCAAGTTGTATAAATTGGTATATGGTTCAAATTGGACTTGAATGATACTTAGCCATGCTGGCCAACTTTAAAGGTTGGTCAATTTGCACTTTGCGAAGGCAACATTTGTCCTGTATGAAAAACAACAACAAAATATTGAATTGTCACCAAAACTATGATTCGAACTCAAAATCAATGAAACAATAAAGAAAGATTAACATAAAGACCATTGGAAGCACTACCCGGGGAACAGGTGTTCCAGAAGGGTAAGCGTTTTCAGCCTCATCGACGACACCCGCCAGGTAATCTAGGTCAATTCCAAAAAATGTCACGTCCTCACATCGAGAACCCGGGCAGTGACAACAATCGAACATTATAAAAATGAGGATACTCAGATCAAGCTATTGAATACATAATCAACTGTGACATGTAAAACCCGTACGTAGAATCAAGGATGTTACTGTAACGTCGATGTATCAGAATATGAAATCGAAGGGTTTGACTAGGTTACCATTCCTGATAAGATCATCTATGAATTCAGCCTTTTTGAAAATAATGAACTAGAAGAGGGCACATTTTGTTCCCATACAAATGCCTAAAGTCTTCTAGAACATCGTGCCTCGGAACCCAACAATGATATTGTCAAGCTGAGACTAAATCGATCTCACAATTTTATTCTCAGTATATTTTATTTTGGCCATTGTTGTTCTTTTCGCAAATTGTGCTCTGAAAATATTTTCAACCATATATTTATATCAGCGCCCAGTTTGGTATGAGTTAAATACAAAAACATACTTTGATAAATTACCTATCAAAAATATTTCTCTTGGCCTTAATAATCAAGGCCAATATCTTCAACTTGTGAATGCAGTTATTCCGGTTGAAACTTTGACAAAGCTAAATTATGCTTTAAATTGTTTTGCTTTTGATTGAATCTGATATGCGTTAATCTGGAGGTAAATATTGCGCTTAAAAGTCGGTCACATGAATGATTTTCATGATCTCATGCAACTGAAAGAGGATTAAAAAAACTGTATTCCCTAAGTTGATTTTGATAGTCCATTTTCTGTAATGACATCGGTTGAAGAAAATGCAAAGTTTTATTGTCGTCATCACGATCACATTTGGAAATACGATTTTTTCTTTCCGTGATGGGAACGTCGATGTTTTTAACATCCTAATTTTTTGGCACTTCCCTGTTCTCGCTATGTGGACGGGATTTTACTTGGATTTGATCTGAACTTACATGGCGGGTTCTGTCGATGACCATTTTGGAATACCTGGCCTTCTTCTCCATGTACATTTCAAGGGTTTTATGGAAATCTTCTTATTGATTTAGTAGATATTAACCAAATTAAAATAAACGTATCATACATTTTGTTGTAATGATTTTGCTGTTTAACAGTAGAATGACTATTCTGCAACCGTCAAACCGAAGAAAACCCGTTTCCCTGTCTGATAGGCAAGGCTTACTTTTCATATGTTAGTGTTAGGTTATTCTACAGTAATCACATCGCTAGAGGACTTCCCATAAACTGACGCCCATGATGGTCATGCAAGGTCGTGGTTTGATAATCATACTTATTTACACACTTAAGGGAGTAAAGTCTTCACGGTCTAGGATGTCGTGAATCAAGTAACACAGTTACACTAAGTTTTCGAGAAAACTCCTGTTTACCCGACTGGACTCAGACTTCTTTCAGGGCTTCCTGCTGACAACTCATTGGTCGACGGCAACGTTGAGTTTGTATGAGGAGGTAAAGTGTTCGGCTGTTGTGGGGCTGCCGGAAACTTCTCTTTGACAAAGACATTCCTCTCCATATTTTCCATGCTCGGGTCCTCCATACCTCCCGTCTCAGTCCAAGCCTTTGGGGTTGGGGCCGAACACCCTGGTCCGTCGAGAGGGCGTTTCTCGTATTCTGATAGAGCGGGATTGTTTACTCCATTATCAGCCTCCTGACACCCAGGTTGCCCCTCCTCTCCAAGTGGGTTGATCCGGAGCTTGTTTCCGTCTTGACATTTGAAACGGTAGATGAAATATGCACTGAGAAAAGCGCCACCGACAACCAGGACGACAACGATTCCAATAGCGATGAAAAGGCCACTAGCTGCAGCCAAAGATGTTTCTGTTAACAAAAAAGTCAAGGACGGCGTAAACAAAATGCACGTTTGTCTTGTGTCGCACTGACATTGTAGTATTTCAATGTCATTCTTCTTTATTTCCATTTTAATTTTATTGTAGTTTTGAACGACTACGGAATTCAAAAGAACGTTCTTAATGTGGCATTTCTGCTAAAGATATCACACTTACGTTTGCCTTTGGCATTTATTGTTTAAAACAACATAACACATTTGACATTTGACAATCTGTTTAAGAATATATTCTCTTACCGTCCATGGCTGCGCTGTTGTAGAATTTGATGCGAAAACCCCGGGCCACCACTGTAGAGTCGGTGTAGAACTTGATCAGTAGAGACGTCCCCGAGCTGTTCATAGCAGGCACCGAAGTTATGCAGCACGAAGAGTAAAGCTGAGTGGCGTTCTCGTAGGCACCTTATAACCCATAACGACATTATCGATCAGGCGAAGACTAAGCAAAGGCATTGATCAGAATCTCGTTAAATGACACACCTTTTGCATATTACAAAATGATCTAGGATGTTTTATTATTATGTTTAATTGAAACGGCTCTAAGGATCTAAACCTTTATTGTAATTTATATTGTTTTGTGTCACCATCCTAAAAACAACTGTACATATACAACCCGGTAAGAGTTCTGGATAATACACCATTTCATTTAAACTAGTTTTATTGTTCAATAACAAGTCTTACGCAATCACACTGAGATCATTTCATACTACACACCGTCGTATATGGTGAGGGTATCCAGTTGACATACGGGTACTTTGGCGTTGATGTATTCCAGTTGACAATCAACCACCTCGACTTTCACTACCTCGTTGACCTCATTCGACTCCAGTAACCACGTGTAAGTCACGTTACTGTGGAGAGTCAATCATATCATAATATTTCTATTCTCAACCAAAATCAATATTTTAAGATTTCGATATCTTGAAAAAAACATTAAAAGATTTTTATATCTTGACAAACACCAATAAGATAAGATTTCTAAACCTTTGCCAACACTGTTTAAAGATGTTTTGTCTTTTAAAAAAACCACTTATATCACAACCTTTGAATATATTAAGCAGAAGTGTGTTTTGTTATAGAGTATAACTATATAGTAAATACAAACTACTTTTACATTATGAAAACTTGACATCCATGTCTGTTTTAACCTTAATAAAAATGAACTGACAGAATTGTACTGAAATAAAACAAAAACGGAAGTGGAACTAGTGTTACCGGAAATCTGTTTTTCATGTACTTTACGTACTTTGAGTACATGGTCGGGTAACCCTCTGACATGAAGTAGGCTGCAGTGCTGGTAGCAACCAATGTCGTGTTCTGGCCCTGAACTGTAATAACAGAGACTTTGGATAACATTTCCACAAGTGACGCACTGATCGTTACATCGTGTTGTAACATTATATCACCAACCAAATTTGAACATCTTTCACAGAACTGGTACTTTATTACACCAGAACTTCATATTATTATATTATAGTAACATAACCATGCTCTAAGAAAAAGTGCTACAATATGAGTTAGTGAGAAGTTGATGAAACAATATATTTTTAATATTTGTATCCAATCCCAAACCAATAACTTCCAAAAATCAACACAATATTGAGGACGACATTGAGTAAAACAATAATAAGACATAGGATTTAGGACAAATTTTACTCTTAAAACTACGATGGGCCACAACAACCGTCAATGGCTACTGCTTTAGTAATAAAGTCATCCGTTTGCCGAAGTGGCTGATATCGGAATAGTATGCGAATGAATGACAAAACAACTGCTTGAATAAAGCTGATGGCAGAGAAGTAAATCAACATTTCATCCTGATAAGTGCTGTTCACTAACGCAGTTGCCTCGACAGCAGCTGTGTGTCATCGTTTCAAGGACGGCTGACTTTCTGTGAACCATCATGTAAAACTATGTTTATACTTCTAGTTAGTGGGGAGGGTAAGGGCAGGTGACACTCTGTATACCTGTGGTAGGCTCCTTCACCAAAGTCAACACGACCAACAACGCAGCATTGCAATAACACCTGGAACGACAGCATCACAGAAATCGTAGATACCATCACGGATAATGCCAATTAACATCAACAATTAATAAAGAAGGGAAAGTCACATAGCAAAATTTTTCATAGTTAGAAATCAAAGGAAAAGGTAAGTTCGTAATATCTAAATGATTGTAATTTAAATTAAAGTGAGGCTGAGAAAACATCGTCAACGTGTGAAGGTGTACATTTGGTGTCATAACATCGAGAGTGAGTAAAGATCGGTAAGTCAAAATAAATCAAACGTTTAGTGTCATAACATCGACACCGAGTAAAGATCGGTCAAAAGTCAAAATTAACTAAAGGTTTGGTGTCATAATATCGACAATGAGTAAAGATCGGTAAGTCAAAATAAATCAAATGTTTAGTGTCATAACATCGACACCGAGTAAAGATCGGTAATTCAAAAATTAACTAAAAGTTTAGTGTCATAACATCGACAAGAGGTAAAGATTGGTAATTCAAAATCAATACAAAATTTAGTGTCAAAACATCGACAAGAGGTAAAGGTTGGTAAGTCCAATCAATTAAAAGTTTGGTGTCATAACATCGATAGTGAGTAAATATTGGTAAGTCAAAATTAACTTAAAGGTTAGTGTCATAACATCGACAAGACGTAAATATTGGTAAGTCCAATTAATTAAAAGCTTGGTGTCATAACATCGATAGTGAGTAAATATTGGTAAGTCAAAATTAACTAAAAGTTTAGTGTCGTAACATAGACAGTGAGTAAAGATTGGTAAGTCAAAATTAACTAAAAGTTTAGTGTCGTAACATCGACCAGAGGTAAAGATTGGTAAGTCACAATTGATTAAAAGCTTGGTGTCATAACATCGACATCGAGTAAATATTGGTAAGTCAAAATCAACTAAAGGTTTGGTGTCATAACATCGACACTGAGTAAAGATCGGTAAGTCAAAATCAACTAAAAGTTTGGTGTCATAACATCGAGACTGGGTAAAGATTAGTAAGTCAAAATCAATTTAAACCTGTTGGTCACAGTTTATTATCTTTCAATTTTCAGTTTGACAGTGACATTGTCATAACTTGATGTTCACATCCAAAGTTTAAAGGGACCCGACAGACTTGGATAATGCCAGGATAAAACCTACCGTTATACATATAGGTTCAAATTCAAAGAGTGTTATTAATGATAGTTTCAGCAGGAAGAACATAATTAACCTAGATCATTGAAACCTGCCTTGGTGTAAAAGATTGATTATCAAATCCTATTTTGTTGTTGAATAGCAATCAAAAGGATTGGACACAAGTCTTTATAGCTTATTAGGCGTTTGCTCAATGATACTATAAGCAAACAATTTAGATAACCCGTGATGACTAAAAGCTTAACGAAACAGCAAAGAGAAAGGAACGAGCGTGAAGGAAGAGATGGATTGCGATTGGAATATCACGGTTGCCATAGTCTTCTACTAATTAGTTCCAAACCCTTTTGTTGTTTTTGTGAATGTCTGTACATAATAGGGCAATGACCTTTGCTTGAAATGGAAGATCAACATATCCGCATATGAGAGTATCATGACTGGGGACTGGCTGAAAACCAATGTTCATAAATTTATATAAGCCTGTTTAGGACCTTGGAGATTTCATCACTACATCTCTGTTTATTTGATGCTAAATGGACCGATAGATCGTATTGACATTGAAACGTGTATGTAAAAGTGTAAGTACGAACTACCCTCTAGCCCAATAGGATGGCATTCGAATAAAACAGTAAGGACCAGCGAGAGAATAAGATGACTTTAAAATGTAACAGTTAGAGCCAGAGAGAGGAAGCGGTTCCTTGGTAGAAGTAAGGTTTGGTTCGATATCAAGTGGTCGTGATGGGGCGAGATCTACTGCCGTCTTCGTGGGATTCAACCGCATACACAACTAATCAGATCAAAACGGTAAGGATACAACATTGTTGTTTAGTTTCGGCTCTAAAACGTCCACAGAAGACAATTCATTGCAAAGACCTTTGATAATAATTCGTAGGATCAACAAGATAATCGCTGAGAAGTAAGAATGAAAAAGGACCGATAACAGATCCTAGCGGTCGTCTGTAGATATATATTTAAGAAATAAAAGTTATTCCTATACATAGCAGATTGTTGACATAACTAAAGAACAAGGATAGTAGGTTATGGTCAATACTATAATGATGCGTAACCTCCCTTTATGTCAATTATCAAATATCCTGGAAAGGTCGCAACATTTAACACATGAACAATGCTATGATTAATATCAATGCGCTTGTTAACTCCTGGCAAGATGAAGATTCTTTTATTTAAGAAAAAACACCTTATTGAAAAAAGGAATAAGTCATTAAGTTAAAGAAGCAACTTTCACATTTCTAAATATCAAGGTAAAACGGTTGCTTTCTTTTATTCAACTCACGAAAGGATTGTGATCTTGTCGCAGCTTTAAGCACATTGTGACTGATTTTATCTGGCCCTACTTCCTTTCCAATATCAAAAACTGACATAATACCGCACACTACTTCAATAAGTCATCCCTTTTATTACATTTTTACCAGTGCAATATCGGATTCTATCAACCTGAAAAAACTGATATCTTTCACACTGTGACAAATATAAAAAAAAAATCACAGTGAGAAAATAGCACTTGTCTGTATTGACCAATCATAACGGTATCTTCTATTCGCTGCATTCAAACGTAACGAATTTTTGTTCAGATTCAAATGAAGCGACGGTAGAATAAGTGGTTGTTATGGTAAATGTTTGGTACACACACTTCGGTATTTACATAAACATACAATTAATAACGTTTTATAAGCAATCATACCAGAAAATAGCAGAAAACATCGGAATCGCGTTGAGTATCCCATTCAAAATGGCGGGCAGCCTTGTTGTCAAACGTGACGTCATTAGATGATGGTGCTAATTATTACGCTTCTAATTCCCGACCTTTTTTAATGCATTACATTTTTCATGTTTTATGTTCTAAAAATGTAATAAATAGAAAATTTAATAGTGTCTTCAGTAATAACAAATATATTTCACACGTGTTGCAAATATTTTGATATTTATCACTCGTGCTGCGCACTCGTGAAAAATAATAAAATATTAGCCACACTCTTGAAATATATTTGTTATTACTGAAGACACCATTAAACATCCTCTATGTATTAGTAATTCAGGTTAACTTGCATCAGAATAATTATAAAAGAGATGATAGAAAAAATCACTTCCTCTTTTTCTTGGTCACTGCATGAAACTTACGGAATTCCAGTTTCAACATAATAAAGAAGAGGAAGTATAATTTTCGATAAAACATACATCTTTGAAGTATTCTCCAATAGAAACTGGTGCTCACCGTAATTTGACTCATTGCCTCATTTTCGTTCATGTTGTCAATTGTATTCCTATTGTTCTGAAAGCTGTTTCAACCGGTTAGATTCTCTGTATTGAGAATATCGCGAGATCGACAATACTTATGTAGACTTGAGTCAAACACAGAAGGACGAACAGTTCGGAACCAGACTTTTACTTAAATTCCTAACAGATATATTCAGTAGATACAAGGTAAACCTCGCACTTTCTGATAGCTATTCGTGTGTCACAGAAAAGTATAAGATCACCCCCTCCATGAACATTTCCATCATTACGGAAAACCAGTAAAAAAAAATGGTGGTTCACTTGTCACTTTATTATAAGTTCTTAATATTATCCTGCATTATGCATGTGTTGAATCGCTAACCAAAGCATACGCTAGACACTGCCAGGATCATATACAAAAGCAAAACGTAAATATCTAAGACTCTAACTATGGAAAAGTTGATACGTAACAGAATGTAGGTACCTGTACATGTAGGCTTTATAAGATAATCAAATATACATGTAGTGTCACATCGATATACATTAGGTACACTGTATATTGCATGCAGAGGTTTTGTACTTACCTCCGGTCCAATTTTACAGCTGACATTTTCAATCCGAATACAGAAAATGCACCGGCCATCTTTTCAATGTATACGAATTAATCTTCTCTTATTTATTATTAATTACAATTTTAGATAACTTTAGCCATGTTTGACCAACGTCGACATTTTCCACGTCCGTGTACCGACAGCTACAGTGTATCTCTAACGCTAGTGGAAACTTGACCCCTTCACCATATCGAAATCTTAACGGACCGGTCAAATTAATTGGTTCATGAGGTAAATAGGGTTGTAATAGGTGTGTGCGGAGCCTGGATACAGGCTGTGTTTATGTATCGACGTGACGGGGTGTGTACGGCAGGTAGGGCATGTATGTAACGCCTATTGTCACGGCCGTGATAAATGTGTGTAATACACGTGGTACGATACACTCCAATATCAAAGGGCTATATTAGTAGGGGACGTCGAACAAGTTCATAGGTTTTTTATCCGTTGTCAAATGATATAAAAGTAAAGCTGCATTGGTACCTATATATATCGCACCTTATTCAAACGTCCACCAACATGCCGCTCTCCAGTGTTCTGTCCGTTATTGACGCAGTATCTGTGTTTAATACGACTGGCAGCCATTCAGTGGTAACAACCAGACGGACCGATACCTACTACGTAGGCTTATAAGGTATAATATACAGTAGCCTTATCAGTCAACAGTCAAAACTATTTTCCTAAGGAGTTGGCACCCACCAGAGGAACTGCTTCCTGAAGGCTGCCTCAGACCTCGGGAAGTAGGTCGATCTTCTGCTTGGTTCCAATTCAAAGGGAAAACAGTTTTGGAATGATTACTGATGAGGAATGAAACAACTGGTCCTTTTACTTAACAAAAATAACCAATGAGAAACAAACAGTTAATATCAAATAAAAGAAAAGAACTCTTGCTCTCTACTTAATGCAGTACTTTCCTCTCCTGACAAGTTTCATACGTTCCTTCTTGTTTAACAAATATTAACCATTTAATATGATATATGAACCTGAAAAAGTATTATTGACGTATACTCCGTCTCGGGTAATATCACTCTCTTAGGTACATACAACCGCATATTCACCTCAACTAAATCACTATTAGATTTACTTTATACAGTTTATATTACATATCCTACACAGTGTAAAGTATATCGATTTGTCAGTCAAATGTAAGAACACAACGCTTTTGCTATAAAACCCGCTAACGCAGGAAAACAGGCTTCTATTCCGAGCTCAGGTAAACTTAAACACAGAAAAAAAATTCTATATTTATTTTTCATCAAAAAAATCTTTTGAGATATTAACAAATCGTTTTATTAAGGTTCGATGAGAGGCTGCATGACAATGCCCTCTAGTGGCGTGTCTATCAGGTCGCAGGTTTCGTACAAATAAATCGGTTCCATGAAGAAGATGGTCTTCACCTGATTCTGGTAGCGGTCACCTCCTGATGAGAGAATGGATAGAATGTAAGGTATATACCTGTTGTTGTATGCATCCACCTTTAGCTGCGAATTACATCCTATTCGGACCAGATTAGTTTACCGACCGATACTTATAATCATTGAGAAGATGATTTGTAAAATGGGTTCGAAATTATGTCCGATAACAACAAAAAATGGGTTCGAAATTATATCCGATAACAACAAAAAATGGGTTCGAAATTATATCCGATAACAACAAAAAATGGGTTCGAAATTATATCCGATAACAACAAAAAATGGGTTCGAAATTATATCCGATAACAACAAAAAATGGGTTCGAAATTATATCCGATAACAACAAAAAATGGGTTCGAAATTATATCCGATAACAACAAAAAATGGGTTCGAAATTATATCCGATAACAACAAAAAATGGGTTCGAAATTATATCCGATAACAACAAAAAATGGGTTCGAAATTATATCCGATAACAACAAAAAATGGGTTCGAAATTATATCCGATAACAACAAAAAATGGGTTCGAAATTATGTCCGATAAAAACAAAAAATGGGTTCGAAATTATATCCGATAACAACAAAAAATGAGTTCGAAATTATATCCGATAACAACAAAAAATGGGTTCGAAATTATGTCCGATAACAACAAAAAATGGGTTCGAAATTATATCGATAACAACAAAAAATGGGTTCGAAATTATATCCGATAACAACAAAAAATGGGTTCGAAATTATGTCCGATAACAATTTTCCGTGATTGTAGTACGCGTCTTACCATTGGCTAGTTGGGAGAGAAGTTTCCCGCCATTCAAGGGATTCAGAACCAGACACATCACACCATCGTGATCCGAATCGAGGTTCGTCCTGTCAGGTAAGAAAATGGAAAAGATGTGAAAATATTTCATCAACAAATAGATTCCTGGGAAATTCTTGCACCAATAAATTAAACAGGTAACACGACCCATACATAGGGTGTAGGCGAACCCGATATTTCATATAAGATCAAGTTCAAAACAAAGTCGGAATTCCGGTATACAAACGAAATACGCCGTTATCTTGAAAAAGAATGGAAAATATTCCCCTAAACAATACTTACCAATTTAACATTGTGTTGTGTCTAGGTAATCATAACAGAGTATGCATAGCTGTATACGCTATCCATACGTACCTAACGAATTTATAATAAAGCAATACAAAGAAGCATACGGAACTGATCAAGAAAAGAAAACTCGGGTTTCAACAACCGCCTGTCGTTGCATCAACGCACAGCTGTATACCCGTCGAGTTATATCCTCGGTGTCTTTCTATATATATCAAATGTACGATTGATTCTATTTCCACATTTGCTATGGGAACATATGTCCTACAGTGTATCTTAGTATTGAATACAATATGTCTTACCCGCCTATTAACGCTGTGTATATCGATGTACAACCCTATGAGCCCCCCCCACCCCCCCCCANGTACATTGTGACGGTCGGTGTCGTGTCTTTCGCAGTTTGTAGTGAAACTGGTTCCGTCATTTAACGCTATTGTCGCGCTTTTGTTCGTGAACGAGACTTGGGACAAAGGGCCATGTGCGTACGTCCAAGTCTTCTGAAGTTCTGCAGGGAACATACATCCGGGTCCTAATAATCAAATAACATAAACATAAATTATGACAGACATTCATAACATAATACAATTATTAAAAATTCAATACCGAACAGTCCCTGACACGGACCGAGGCCTAGTAAGCCCGTGAAGCAGACCCTAGCTTAGTAAGTCCGTGAAACCGACCCTAGCTTAGTACGCTGCACAGCAGGGTGACCGAAAATGTAGACTGTTAAATCTATCTAGGATAAATAAACTACAAAGCTGGAGGACCGAACAGTTAGTCCCTGACACAGACCACGACTTAATAAGCTACACAGATTAGGGGACCGAACAGTAAGTCCCCGACACGGACTACGACTTAATAAGCTTCACAGCCTAGGGGACCGAACAGTTAGTCCCCGACACAGACCACGACTTAGTAAGCTTCACAGCTTAGGGGATCGAACAGTTAGTCCCCGACACAGACCACGACTTAGTTAGCTTCACAACTTAGGGGACGAACAGTTAGTCCCCGACACAGACCACGACTTAGTAAGCTTCACAGCTTAGGTACCGAACAGTTAGTCCCCGACACAGACCACGACTTAGTAAGCTTCACAGCTTAGGGGATCGAACAGTTAGTCCCCGACACAGACCACGACTTAGTTAGCTTCACAACTTAGGGGACGAACAGTTAGTCCCCGACACAGACCACGACTTAGTAAGCTTCACAGCTTAGGGGATCGAACAGTTAGTCCCCGACACAGTCCATGACTTAGTAAGCTTCACAGCTTAGGGGACCGAACATTTAGTCCCTGACAAAGTCCACGACTTAGTAAGCTTCACAGCTTAGGGGATCGAACAGTTAGTCCCCGACACAGTCCATGACTTAGTAAGCTTCACAGCTTAGGGGACCGAACATTTAGTCCCTGACAAAGTCCACGACTTAGTAAGCTTCACAGCTTAGGGGATCGAACAGTTAGTCCCTGACACAGTCAATGACTTAGTAAGCTTCACAGCTTAGGGGACCGAACATTTAGTCCCTGACAAAGTCCACGACTTAGTAAGCTTCACAGCTTAGGGGATCGAACAGTTAGTCCCTGACACAGTCAATGACTTAGTAAGCTTCACAGCTTAGGGGACCGAACATTTAGTCCCTGACAAAGTCCACGACTTAGTAAGCTTCACAGCTTAGGGGATCGAACAGTTAGTCCCCGACACAGTCCATGACTTAGTAAGCTTCACAGCTTAGGGGACCGAACATTTAGTCCCTGACAAAGTCCACGACTTAGTAAGCTTCACAGCTTAGGGGATCGAACAGTTAGTCCCTGACACAGTCAATGACTTAGTAAGCTTCACAGCTTAGGGGACCGAACATTTAGTCCCTGACACAGTCCACGACTTAGTAAGCTTCACAGCTTAGGGGATCGAACAGTTAGTCCCCGACACAGTCCATGACTTAGTAAGCTTCACAGCTTAGGGGACCGAACAGTTAGTCCCTGACACAGTCCACGACTTAGTGAGCTTCACAGCTTAGGGGACCAAACAGTTAGTCCCCGACACAGACCACGATTTAGTAAGCTTCACAGCTTAGAGGACCGAACAGTTAGTCCCCGACACAGACCACGACTTAGTAAGCTTCACAGCTTAGGGGATCGAACAGTTAGTCCCCGACACAGTCCATGACTTAGTAAGCTTCACAGCTTAGGGGACCGAACATTTAGTCCCTGACAAAGTCCACGACTTAGTAAGCTTCACAGCTTAGGGGATCGAACAGTTAGTCCCTGACACAGTCAATGACTTAGTAAGCTTCACAGCTTAGAGGACCAAACAGTTAGTCCCCGACACAGACCACGACTTAGTAAGCTTCACAGCTTAGGGGACAGTACTGTTAGTCCCTGACACAGTTCATGACTTAGTGAGCTTCACAGCTTAGGGGACCGAACAGTTAGTCCCTGACACAGTCCATGACTTAGTGAGCTTCACAGCTTAGGGGACCAAACAGTTAGTCCCCGACACAGACCACGATTTAGTAAGCTTCACAGCTTAGAGGACCGAACAGTTAGTCCCCGACACAGACCACGACTTAGTAAGCTTCACAGCTTAGGGGATCGAACAGTTAGTCCCCGACACAGTCCATGACTTAGTAAGCTTCACAGCTTAGGGGACCGAACATTTAGTCCCTGACAAAGTCCACGACTTAGTAAGCTTCACAGCTTAGGGGATCGAACAGTTAGTCCCCGACACAGTCAATGACTTAGTAAGCTTCACAGCTTAGGGGACCGAACATTTAGTCCCTGACAAAGTCCACGACTTAGTAAGCTTCACAGCTTAGGGGATCGAACAGTTAGTCCCCGACACAGTCAATGACTTAGTAAGCTTCACAGCTTAGGGGACCGAACATTTAGTCCCTGACAAAGTCCACGACTTAGTAAGCTTCACAGCTTAGGGGACCGAACAGTTAGTCCCTGACACAG